TAGCAAGGGCATATAGAGTTTGATGGCAAGCAAAACTGGACTTTAAATTGACATAGCTTATTAACATGACTCTTTCATTTCCGTCTAAATTTAGATGAAACTAAACTTTTGCTAGCTCTAATCAAGAGTAATTAAGTACAAGCTCCAGAAAATATGATACTCAACAATTGCAATTAACATAAAACCACTAACAGAGCGCTTTTATTTGACAAGTGTTTTCAGTATTTGATATACATATTAGAAATACATAAAACAAAAGGTTAAGAGGATAAAGTGGGTGTGGGCGGCGAGTGTACAATCTTTAAGGCTTTTCATCAAATTGCAACTTCTCTTTTTCACTTGTTTCCAGGTTCCCTGTTTCCACAAACACACCATTCTATTCTATCTACCCATTGGAGCACTTCTTTTTTTAGAGGAAAAGTATGACAGAAAGTGACAGATGAGGACCACAAAACCATAAAGTGAAGCTAGAAAAAGGCCATTTAAGATCAAAACAACAGTTTACCAGAGGGAAGGAAATTTCATGAAATATCCAGAAAACTGTATCATTTCCCACCTGTTTGAAACAAGAAAAAAGAATATTAAGCAAAAGGTGTTCATTTTGCTATGTTAAACTTTAAGCCGGAAAAGATGAAAATAAAGGGAAAGAAAGTTTATTATATATACATACCTTTTCCTTTCTCACAAGCTTTTGATAAGAATGACACAAATATTATGATTAGTGCAACCGCAGCTATGAGTCCAATCAAGATTGCAAGTGTCTTCTCAATCTCATCATCATTGTTATTGTGATCTATACGCACCCAATTGAACCAAAAAAATCATTATATTGCTTGAATGCACAATAATTTAAAGGTAGGGAACAATCAAAGTAATATTAACTGATCAATAAGGCTCATGGTTGTTTGCAACTTTTATGGTTGGCCATGAAACAATGATTATTGAAGAAACTCAGGATATCAATAGATCAAAAAAGTATACCATTAAAGATAATTTTTTTATTTTGCTTGATCATTTGTCAAGAAACAATAATTGGGAAAAGGAGGTTGGGAAGTAAATTCAAGTGCCTCCTATTGATTTAGATTGGACGCCAAACTTCATTAACATTGTGGGAATTGGCAGGATATTCTAACCAAAAGTTTATTTAGTTTAGTTGTTAAAAAATAATTAATAGTCAATAGTGTTAATAATTAATTATTATTTTAATTCAAACACAACAACTATGTATAAATTGTTGTATATCAATTGTGGAGTGTTAATTATTTCTTAATAGCTATGCCTATCAAAAAAATTATTTCTTAATAGATAAACTAAATAGAGCCTATTTTAATCTAGATTCTAATGAACAGCTTGTATATCATGAGATCAGTATGAACTTGGGCAAACATTATCACTTCAATAGCATTGGATTCTTCCCTAGTATATTCCCAATTTTCAGCCCTTAATTCAAAGTGGGGCCCTAATTCGTTGCAAGCAAAATTTAATTAAGTGCTTTACAGCCGGCAGCTAGCCAGCTACCTAGGTTTGTTGCCCACATAGAAAGTGAAAAAAGACTGGCATATTTGAAATGACTAGCTAAATTAATTAACAATACTCAAATAAATAAGTAAATACTGTTAAGATATTTTTAAATAAGTTTTTATATATTTTAAAATTAATTTATTAAAAATTAATTTAAAAATATATTTTTACATTCATTTAATATATTTAAAAAAATTAAATTTTAAATAATAATTTTAAAATTTAAATCTTAATTTTACCTTATAATATAACATTTATTTATTAATAAATTTAATTTTAACATTAACACTAATAAATATAAAATATAAGTTGCTTGAGCAAGTACATCCTTGCATACACAATTTATTTGGTTCTCTTAGTAGTAGCATTTTCCAACATTACATTTACAAAATGGATTTTGGTGTTAAACCCATCATCTGATTTACACATGCCATCAAACAAAACAACTACCACATGTGGATAGGTGTAAAGTTTCTCGAATTTTAAGTTCCTTCGTACCAAATTGATCCACTCACTCAAATTTAAGGAAATTATGTGATCATAAAAATTTCAAAGGAATTCTAACACGGTATAGCCTTGATCCAAGAATTGTTTATAGTATTTATTGAAAAAGAGATGAAAAAGGTTTACAATTTAAATCATATAATCATAACGGTATAAGCAAAAGCAAGTTAAAAAAAAAATTATTTCTTAAAGAAACAAATGCTTCAATATCAGAAAACAATAAAGAAAACAAAGCACTAAAAAGCAAAGGTAGGTGTGGGATCTTTGGTGGGTGGGTTCATGTCCCATGTTACTAAATTAAAGAAAGGTCAATAATTAGACACTAATTACTACATTAAAGAATCAAAATGGGAAAAAAAAATTGAAAAAAAAAAGTCCAAATCTTCTTGAGACCTGGATTACCCAAATCACCATATATATGCAAACAAAATTCACACCTTTAACTAACAAAAAAAAAGAAAAAAAAAAAAAGCACAACTCCGCACCAAGTAATTTACATGTTTTTCACATTTAAAGGAAATTAAGCCCAAAATGGTGATTAACTAATTCCCATGGTAGTCAAAATTAACTAAATTAAACCCAATAAGAAATATAAAAATACCAAAAGCCAAAGGCCAAGGACCACCATCCGCGGTGGCGAAACGGCTTACCCTGATTGCCATTAGAATGATCCCCGCCTTCTGAATACCGCACGTAGCACTTGGCCAGGTACATATCGCCCCACCTGGCGTTTCCACACAGCGTCTTTAGCTGTCCAACAGCCTCTGACAAGCAATCCTGGCACTCGCCGAAACTCAAATCCTGCACGCACTGCGCTTTGGCCTGAACATCTCCGGACCCACCGACCCTGTATGGCTTGTAGGTACCGTCTCCGGTTGCCAAGTAGCCCAACACGGCATCCCGCCTGCCCAACACGGCGTCAGAATCCGACGAGATCAACGGCCCACATTTTTTCACCACCACCGTCTTGTCCTCAACGCCTAAAAACGCGTTCTTGTCATACTTGACGAGGCACCCTTCAAGCTGGAGAGCGCCACCTGTAGAGTCGAGGCAAAGAGTGCCAACCTGACTCACGGCGCGAGCCACACAGCGGCCGCAGTCGTTGTTGCTGAGGTCGCCCCGGCACTGGAAGAGGCCGTAAATGGTGTCTTGTTGGGAAGAGCCCGGGATGGTGAAGTTGTTGTAGGTAGTGTACATGGCGGAGTTGACCAGGGAGGTAAGCAGCGAGTCAACGCCGACTTCATAGGGGGAGCCTTGGGCATATTTCATCTGAGAACATCCGCCATAAACGAAGGTGTCCGTGGCGGAGTTGGAAAGGGATGTGAGGGATGAAATTGTAAGAATAAGAAGAAGATGCAGCTCTAGTTTCTGTGCCAACGTCATGATATTGCAATTCCTTATCGGAGTAGAGAGATAGAATAAAATAAGTAAGATGAGGGAGAATATGAAGAAGGGAAGCTTCGCGTGGAGGACTTTTACTTGGGGATGGTTGCGTAGAGGAGAATTTACGTAAGTGGAGACTATATCTACCTTCATGGGGTCATAGCGTCCGTCCACAAATGATGTTACTCTTGTCCTTTCCTCTTATTCTCTTTTATTTTTTGTTACAAAAGAAAAACATTTAAGTTTTTTTTTTTTTTTTCTTGATCTTGGTGGGCAATGAAATATAATTTTTTTTTATTTTTTAATTCACTTATTTATATAACATTATATAATTTAAATTTAAAATATCTTATTTTTAATAAAAAAAACTATTATTAAACTATTTAACTTCTTAATAAGACACAGTTTACCATTATGATTACTGTTTATTGTTATTTTTTAATTGATGATGACCCCAGGGTGTGTGCAGTAGCAGAGCTAAACGTTTTCTATAGGGGAGAACTTAAAATTTTATTAAAAATTAGTGTGTGTATGGATTAATTAAAAGTTAATGTGAGAAAAAATTTTGAAAAAGAATTAAACTAAGTAACATTAATTAGTTAGTCTTTATTGATAAAAATCAATTAGTCTCTCAACGATTGAGCTAATAGTGGTTCATGACATGGTACAAACACTATCAATTGAATGACAAAGCTGAATATATATGTTGTCCAAGGATGTTAAAGAACAAAAAAGGGGGGGAAAAGAATTCAAATGAAAAAAATACTTTGTACAATGATAATAATGAGTAATTTTTCAATTTATAAGAACTTTTGTTTGCTACAACAACTAAATTTTGGGTAAATTAATTCCTAACCTTTATATTAAATATGTAGTCTCTATTTTGAAACTTTTCGATCCCAACTTTTTTGAAAAAGAATGTTCACAAAGTTAATTTGGGATGATATATTGAGATAGTCGTTCATAGGACTTACTAAAGAAAAAAAATGTCTTTTAAATTTATTTTTTATAATATTTTTTAAAGTTTAATTTTTAACTTTTTGTTAAATTAATCTCTTTATTTATGTTTTTAAATAGTTAGAAAAATAATTTGAGGAGAATACATTTTTAAAGATTCGTAAGTCTCCAGTGCACAAAGAGATTTAAAAATGACTAAAACAATGATATGAATCAAAGTATATAAGGATAAAAATGATAAAAAAAAAA